TATCAATAACAACTATCTTCCTCATAAAAATGTAAAGTACAATGCCAAAATTCACATGCATTCACAAATTATGGATTATTTAATATACCTTGTAAGGAAACTCCACAATGAAATTGAAACAGTACAACAGACACAGTGATCAATGATCAGAATTCACAAGTAAAACGTGAACCTAACATGAATAGGTTTTTCACAAAGATAACAAAAATACATAATACATAAAGAATAGTAGTCTCTTCAATAAATATATAAGAAAAACTGAATCTCCATTTTCATCAAACAATAGGACCTTTCATTAATATTATATTTAACTTTCAACTAAAAATGAATAAAAGATTCACCCAAAGACAGAAATAATAAAACTATTAAAAGAACAACTGAGGAAACTATAGTATACTGGTGTGGACAGTGATTTTTTTATAATCTGAATCCAAAAGAATAACGGTAATAAACAGAACAAATGGGATTACATCAAGCAAACATTTGCTCTACAGCAAAGCAAACAATCAATGATATTAAAGACAGCCTAGGAATTGAGAGAACAGATTCATAAGCCATTCAGACAGTGTCAGATTCATACCCAAATCCACTGGTAGAAGCATAGATCTTTTACGACCATGTCACTGTATAACACCTTCATATTGCTACAGCCTGAATATCTCCTAACTGTACATGCTGAGCCCGTGTTCCTCCCAGCTAGACTTAGTACTTGGGCTACTGAAACTGATCAAAAAGTGGAAGAGACTGGGAGTGCTTTCTTTATTTCCTTGACCTAAGCAATTTACTCTTCTCCTCAATGGTGATATACCATGCTTGAAGAGAAAATTAATTACAACTGTAGACATAAGTAGCACGGAGAAACTCAGGACAATTTGGTTGCAGGAGGCCCTCAGGGGTATAACTTATGTAGGGCCTAAGACACCGCATACAAACACACAAGCTCACAGACACATACACACATACTCGCTGGTACACCAGCATCATCATACACACCCTATCACCAAAGCTTTCCTCCCACCAGGGAATCAGGGAGGTGAACTTCACAGCATGACTATTGTTCCGAAGTAACACAAAACGTTAACAGGATTCTCAAGACAGCTGTACACCTGACAGGAGAATGGACACATGCGTGCGCTCCACAGCCCGTTACATGAAAAATTTCTTTGGAATTTTATTCACTCCAGGCTCTAAGTCAATGGTCCATTTTTGACATTTGAATATATCTTTCCGAATTTTACATCATTTTTAGTCACACTCAAAAATATACAAATTTATAAGACTTTTATATGTATATACATATATCCTTTAAAAACTGTATTTTCATCTTATAAATACATGCATAATCATTTTATAGCATATTATACTATATATTTTAAATATATAGTGGAATATACAACTAACCAAGTATATAGAAAACGGAACATGGCACTATACATTTCACATTTTAAAAAATCTTTCTGTGATGAAAAATATAGAATCACATACATCTTTTGTATCTTTAAGCCCTTCTGGGTGACCTAGTGAACATTATTGAACTTGTTCTTGATGCAGGAAGTTGCAGGGTCCAGGGTGACATAAACAGCACCAAGACAGACCATAAAGCACAGAGAAATATGTACCCAGGTCCAACTTCATTGAGTCCTGGGTCTTGCAAGGAGTTGAAATTCAAACAAAATATGGATGCACCTAAATCTGCAGTCGCCCAGCTTCATAGAAATTAAACTCTTTCATTTTGCCACTAGCTGACTGAAAAACACCCAACATCAAAACCCTATTAATATGTCCTAGATCATGATTTAGCTATAAGATCAACTCAATGAGTATAGAGACAAAACAAACTAATACAAATGCATTCCTCCTCCAATAAAACATATCAGGTGCTTAATCTAAATGGAACAACTATTCATTCACCTAGAATATTACTCGTGTATTTCTTAAGATTTCTTCTATTATAAAAGTTGAATCCAAGTTTCAGTGATCAACCATCTAGTATTCTTACACAATGTTTTGGAAGTGTGTGCTCTCATAAAGAAAAGCACATATTTCTGGGGTGTGCAAGAACAAATCCTTAAGTCCAGTGCCCTAAGGGCTGGGCCATATGGTGGTGGTATTGGGAGGTCAAATGAGCCTCAGGAGCTTGGAGAGAGATGCATGGACAAGGTTCCTGGAAGGGGACTGTGGATTTTCTCTCTGGAGTCCCACATTTGCTTTCCTGGTTCCTGCAGGGAGAACTTGCCTCCTCCACGCTCACCATAATGCAATGTGCTCACCAGACACTCATAAAACCACAACCAATCAATTTTGGACTGCAAGTTTCAGACCTATGAAGCAAGATCAACCTTTTCCCTTTACAGGTATAGATTCCAGGAAATTTCTCATAGACACACAAAACTGAGTGATTTTGGCACTACAAATATCGGAGGTAATTATTAGTCGATGATAGATTTACATAATAAATCTCACAAGCTCATATGAGAAAATAAGAATAAGGCTAGATGGCCAATTTTTCATTTGATAAAGGAAAATAAACTGTAGCTCTTAAGAATCAATGTAAAAGAGGACGGTGGGCAAAGTGAATGGTCAGAAGCAGACTCAAAGGACAGAAAATTAAAACAAAATAAAGATGCATTTCTGTTCTATGCGTGAGAACAAAATTATTCCTAAATGGTATTGGAAAACCAAATATTTAGTGGAAAATAAGTAATTGGATCCTTTCACTCTGTGGATTAAAGGGCTAACACAATTGCTAGGTATCAACACTGGAAGAGTTTTAAAGAGCAAAAAGGGGCTGGGGATTTAGCTCAGCGGCATAAGCGCCTGCTTGCAAGCAGGTAGTCGTGAGTTCGATCCCTGGTACCGATAAAAACGAAAAGGACAAAAAAGAAAATGAAAAAAAAAAAGAGCAAAACATATAAAGTGTATTTCTGTACCTTGGGTTTGGGGAAAACTACTCAAAAGAAACCCAAAAAGCAATAAATTAAGCTTAACCAATTAGAATACAGAAAAGTGACACACTGTAAAACAAAAAAAAAAAAATGAAGAAGTCAATAAAGAACTGCTTGGAATACCCATATAAAAGCTAGTGTTGAAATTCCTAATATTCAATTCTGACAGATAGTGTTTGTGAAATCCAGCTCTGTCAAATTTAATTAAACATGAATATGTAATGCACAAAAGTAGAAATACAAATGTTCAACTGAGCAATAACAGTAGGATTTAAAATCTACAGCAGCTATACACAAAATTTTTGTCCAGGAAATTAAGAAAAAAAGTGAGACACTGGACAATGTCTGTAGACAGAGAAACATAGCAAAACTGAAAGTCTCAAAGAAAAAAGGAATTAAGGTGAGGTGATATAACATACAAAAGCAGTTCCTCAAATTATTAAAGAATATGTGTACATCATTAAATCCAGAAACTCTGTTTCTGACAATTCAGACTATTGAGAGAATAAAGAAAACATGAGAATATCTGAATGCAAAGGAGACAGGAAAGGATATTTACTATGAGTTCTGTTCATAGAATAAAAAATAGAAGTATGTTTATCAATATCCATTGATTTTATAAACTGAAGTGTAACTTGAGAAATACCTTTTAAATTACTAAAAGTATGTCGAATATTTAAATATTGGCCTGTGAATGTGTCAATCAATGTGGAAAAGTGAAAAATTCAAGACAAAAAGAAATACGTCTATTACATTTTTTGTTTTACTTACTGATACTGATGAGAAATTTTGCATGCCATTCATACATGAGTGTTCAAATTTCAAAACATTTTCAAACATTCACACCCTGAATGTGCTAAAAGACAGACAGAATATACCATGGGCAAGGGCTTTTTTTCCTCTTGACAGTTGATTCCACCAACAAAGACCATGTTGGGCATCACAGGTCTGGGAAAGTCGAAGACAAAGTCTGTGCGTAACAACCACACTGATGCTTGGCTGAACAGATCATATGTACTAACAGGTCTTTGGAGAATTTCGGCAGCAATTTCTAAGGCATTTTTATAGAAATAATTGCAAAATAAACGCTCCTCCAGGTGGATAAAAATATTCTGCACTCTCTCTTTGAAAGGCATGACATGTGAGAGTGCTGAGAGAAGTCTGGGAACGTAAGAAAGAGCAGAGGGGCACTGTGTGCCTTCTTCAAGAAGATGGCAAAATACTGTCCGAGCAAAGATCACAGATGGCAACGAAAAATATTTGGCAACAATTAAGCCACACACATCAAAAGGATCCGTTAACACCGCATCAAAAGAACTCTTTTTTAAATATTCCACTATTTTCTTTGCATTAAACAAACTCCTACAACGTGAAAAGGTGATGTCAAAAAAGCGTTTGCATGAACCTGCTGCAATAGAATACATACTTTGCTCCGGAGTTTTCCACTGAGTGTCAGCAAAAAGCCGAAATGCCTGATCCAAATCCTGCACAGTAAATGAAGTTGGATAGGTCTTTACTGTGAAGTTCAGTGACCGTCCTAGTTGCCAACTGACTTCCGGCATGACAATGACCACCTCGTGTCCTCTCTGGATGAGTTTCTCCACCACCGAGCGTAGGGTGAACCAGTGGCTCCCGTCCATGGGCACCACCAGTAGCCTACCCGCCTGGGCAAAGCTGGATGCTAGCAGCAGACACAGACACAGAGGAAGGAGGGCAGGCGAAGGTACAGGAGCCATGATACTGCAGCCTTGAGCTACCCACCTGCTTGGACACAGCGAATGTGATACACTGCGTGGAATAAGGACAGGTAAAAAACCTGTCTCATCATGGGCGGAGATTCACATGTCAATACATGAAGCAACAATTAGTGACAATGATTTACTCAGAACAGTATTGATTACCAAGTTCATTTGCTGGCATCCCTACTAGCACATTATCCAGACACAGACAGTTTAGCATCATTATCAAAGAAACAATCATTACCCGGCCTACATGGTGAAACTGCAAACACAGATATTATATAATGGAATTGGACATTGACATGTCACAAAATCGGAAGTCAAAGTACATTTTATTTAAGTTTCTATTACCAGAGACTGAAACAGTAAAATTTAGACATTGTGTTCCCACGAGCCAGGATGCTTTTCTCACAATGAAATTTTCACTCCAGGTGCCAAGGAATCTCTGCAAGGCCCTTAGCCCTGACTCTTCATGGGCATCAACTGTCTTGATCATCCTGAGCATCCCTGCATGGACAGGCACTGCTGTGAGGATGACTCTGTGGGGAATCTCAGGTTCCTGCTTGCAGTTCCAAATCCTTAGACGTCTCTCAAATGCTGAAATTAGTATGACACAAATCAGTATGAGTGGCCTTGGCCACTCATGTACTCATACACTTTGATAAAATCTGAGCTCAGAAGGTAGAAAGACAACTTCCTCTCCCCAATTCTATACCACTCCCAACAAGGGGACTTAGCCTGCAGCCTCGATCTCAAGAAGAGAACTGAGAACTTCATACAGTAGTCCCAGCACTTCCAAGTTGCTTCCAGGATGCCTACTCCTATACCAAACCACAGGAAACAGGAGTGAGGATTGCGTAAATACAGAAACAAAGAAATGAAGCAGTTGTGTAGTGACCACCACGGAGATCTGGGCATTGGCTCATGTATGCTGTCATGTGTGGGGTCTGCCCAGAGATACCTACCATACTAATAAAACACTGTGTCCTAAGTTGGCTGTGAGAGGAAGCACAAGGGTGAGGCTTGACTAGTTTGTTCCTTCACTGTTATTTGCCCTAGATGGTGACCTTGTCCACTGGAGAGCATTCTCACTTCTCAGATTTTAGAGAATCCAAGGAATTACAATAGATTCAGGCAGGTGGTCATGAACCAGACACACTTGTTAAAAATGCAGGTCCTACAGTTATACTAACATACAAAAACTGCAACCTTGGTACATTTCAGAAGGCATGGGGAGCTACCAGTCCTAGACCTCAATAGACAAAATTTCACTTGATTGTGCTCCTACCTCATTCCTACCTGAAAGGTAGGAATTCCAGAACTGCCTGGTTTTTAGCAGGATAACCTTAAGTCACATTTCCCCATGAAAAGACTGCCCAATCTCGGACCACAGGCTATACCTCTGCCACATACAGACTCCAAACGGCCCTATTACCTGGCCAGGTTTCTCAGCCCCTGACTTGCTCAGCCAGGAGTTCTACCTGATTGATGGGTGCAAAGTTGTCTCCTCAGATGGTGGGGCCCGGGAAGCAAGCACACTGTACATTACAGAACTCACAGTGGTCAGGCCACCACATGAGTTCATAAGAGGTCCTGCTTCCCTAGACTGGTAATGACATTGCCTTTCCTGGATCATACTGCAGAGATCCAGCTTGGGCCTCCACAATGCCCAAGTAACTCTGGCTCATGTTCTTTGCAGAGTTTCCTAGAAAACTATGGTAAAACACATCCATCCAGACAGGATTCAGTACAATGCTCTGATCTACAAACTGCACACGTACAAGCTAATTGCTGCTGCTATGAGAAGATTCCATTCTGTGTAATCATGGATCTGTCTGCCTCTTCTAGTGTCTTAGCAACCCTTCCATGGCCATTGATTCTTTTGTATGAGACTTTCCCAGAATGCACCAGATACAATATCCACCATCCACAATATTCTATTCCACTCAGCACAGTGAAGGAGAGATAAATAACAACTTTCCCACACATGAAAACCTTATGTACCTCATCATCACAATACTTGTCTGCCAGCAACTGCAAAAGAAAATCTTGCCAATGAAACCTCGAAATACTGTTAAAACTATGAAAAATGTGAATCAAAAACACAGCAGTATAATTAAAATAGAGCCACTAAGACTACAATGACAATGTGTGAGAAACATTTTCTTTTATACTAAAAAAGAAACATAAATAACAAATATGGTAGAATTAAACTGTAAGTGCAGACAAGCGACAAAATGATGCACCTTAGTATATTTAAGACTAAGCAGGGTGAGCAAGGGAATGAAGAAAATAGAATTTATACTATGCACCGATACAAATTCCCTATGTTGAATGTTTCAAAATACATTATAAATATGTACTAATAAAAAGTAAATTTAAAAAATAGGAGTAAAACTTGTTGAACACAATCAACTCTACCTTGATATTACACTGAAACAGGCTTGTGTCAGTGGGACACTTTCTATGTGAGTTTCCTGGTAGCCACAGTGCAAAAACCCTTAGTCACTCAGCTCAACAATGGAAAGGATCCAATCATAATACCCATAAAACATCAAACCACAAAGGAACACAGGATATAGACGAAAAGAGTATCTACAAAACATTCACAGCAAAACCATGAAAATAGAAGTAATATGTCCTTATCTATTGATAATTACATTGAACTTAAATGCATTAAATTCCCAAATAAAGAAACATACAGGGACTTTATTTTTCAAAAGACATACTTACACGCTTCTACAAAAATATTTCCTCAGTTTAAGGGCACACTGAAACTAAAAGTAGAAGGATGGAAAAACACTAGGTTAAATGAACAAAGGCAGTGGTAGCTGCATGTCTAGCAGGTGAACTTGAAAGAAAGAAGCTATACAATGCAAAGAAATTGATTGGTGTACTAACTGTATACAAATAAAAATAAATGCACACCTCACACAGAGCACCTAAATATCAAAGCTGAAGGATTGGAAGGAGAGGTAGATTGCATGATAATCACAGGGTCTTCTTTGCCTTATCTCTACAGTAGACTAATATGGAAGCTTTTGACCTGAACTGCACATGAAATGAAATGCACACAATGCACTGATGGTTCATTCTGTTCAACAGCAATAGGAGAGACTCTTCTCCCAGTGCTTCACAGAACAATGCCCAGAATAGATCACTGACTGAGGCATGAACAAGATCACCACATGTAAGTATTGCATATTGTATCAAGTATGTTTTCTGATCAAAATCCTGTAAAACTAGAAAAACACACAGGATGAATTCCAAGTAATTCACATAGTCATGAATGCATGTTTCTTGACCAGCCAATTGGTCCCAGAAAAAATGAAAAAGACAATTAAGGAAAACAGAAAAAGTAGCAGATGATTCACCAGAGTTCACCCACTATATCTCTACCAATACCCCTGCTTTTGAATTTGCCAAGATTTTGGCAGCTGTATGCAAATGAATCCATATCCAATAGCCTAGACAAACAGTGATACTACAGAGCATTTTGGAGGTATATACTCCACAAAGCAAGCAGTAACTGTATCAGGGAAGCTATTCCTGCAGATGATGCTGCATACCTGAGAAATTATAAAAACCAAAACATAATGGTTGGGGATTTAGCTCAGTGGCATAAGCGCCTGCCTAGCAGGCATGACGTTGTGACTTTGATCCTTAGTACCATAAAAATAAAATAAAATAAAAATTGGAAGGATACGCAGATTTAGAAAAAATGTCAAAGATATTTTTAATTAATTACATATAATCAGTTCAAAAGAAAAGGAAATAGTCCATTAAAAATAGCAGCATGCATAAACATATTTTAAAAAGACAAAATGTTCAATTAATAAAGTATAAACTTGTAGTCATGGGAATTATAAAAAGATCTGAATGAGTAAAAAGGACTACATCTTCCTGAACAGGAAGACAGAAGCACAAAATTCCTCAGCTTTCCTCAAGTCAATCAAAACATTTCATGACAAATTAGCAAAGTCCCAGTGGTTTGATCCTTTTTGGAAATCAAAAGAACAGTTTTGAAGGGTCACATATGATGAGATTCACAAGGAAATTTCAAATTAATGAGGAGCATGTAGTTTTCATTCTTAAATATTAAAACTTACTACAAAGCTGCTTAATCCAAACATAGTACAGCAGCATGAAAAAGTCCAGTCTGGGAAGCAGCCCTGGAGATCAGAAGCAGATGAATAGAATGCAGAAACCAAAACATCAAACACAGAACGCCACATTTTGTGTTTTGGATTTCTGGTACATGGAATTCAACCCAGGCTCTTTGCAATGAATTAACTCCTCACGACTCTTTATTTTAATTGTTGTGTTGACACAGGCTCTCACTAAGTCACTCTGTGTTCTAGGCTGGCCAGGACCTTTGGATCCTGCTGCCTCAACTTCACACAACTGAGATTACAGATGGGCACACCCTCAAACAACTTGGAGATGTTTTGAATTCCATGCAGAGTACAATTAGTATTAAAAGGGGATAGAATACCTGACTAACAATGAGGAACTAAATAAAAGAAGATCCCTACACTGTGTAGTATTAAGTTTTGCAAAAAAATGCTACCCTTACTGAAGTAGTTAAAATCTATGCAACGCAACATGAAGATAATGTGGTTTTATATCTTACATTTCAAAGATACACAGAAATAGTTACACAAAAATTGGACCAGTTTAACTCCCTCAAAATGAAAAGTCTACATAGAAAAGATGAAGAACAGCCTCAGGCAAATATTTTCAACACATAAAAAAACCTGTTAAATGCAGTGTGGAGAGGTTCTCTTTTGGTAATGGCTGTTTGGAGTTCTATATGCCTCACTAACCTATATGTTTATTTTCCTCCCTAAATATTATTTTTAAAAAACTTCAAAAATTTGACACCAGCTAAATCTGGAGAGAAAATAGAGAAGTTAAAACCTTCCTACAGTATTGATTAGAATGTGAGGATGTTCAAGCTTTTAAAGCTGCTTCCAACACTGACCAAAAGGTATAGAAGACACTATGGACTCAGAAATCCTAGCAGAACATCAGCCTTCTCAGAAAACACAGAAATAGAGAAATATATGAAGGTAAGTAAGATATTTAAGAATAGTTAACACAGTTTCGTTAACAAAAACTAAACTTTGACTCAAAAAAAGTTCTGTCAATATAAAACTTGAGTGCAATTACTAACGAACTATATCAAGTTGATAAATATTGGCCTATGATGACATCCACAGTTAATTACCAAGTAAACAGATGATGAAAGAATATGTACCTCTCCTCTATTTCATAATAAATTTGTTTATATCGTGCTTCTAATATAACAGAAGTCATGTGATATTTGAGAATATGTCTGATTTATTTCACATAATATTGAGTTCTAAATACTTTAACACATTTCATATTCCATTGTTTAAAATATTTTAATATATGTTACTTAGTTTTATTTATGATACTATTATATCATAGTAATTGAAAAGAAAGTATGGCTTGCTACCTATTTATTTATTTAAATTTTTTTTTTTTGTCTTTTTCCTTTTTATCGGTACCAGGGATCGAACTCACGACTGCCCGCTTGCAAGGTAGGCGTTTATGCCGCTGAGCTAAATTCCCAGCCCCAGTAGTGAATGTGGTTTTTTTTTTTTTTTGTCTGCTACCTATTTACTTTTAGTAATCTTTTTAGTTTATGTCTTGTACCCTGGGTGACTACTTTACACAATATGATACACAGTGTATTAACTACTGTTATTCTCTCACTATTTGGCTATAAAATTTTGTTTTATTTTTCATAAAGTAATAAAGAACAAAAAGCAGATTTTCATATTAAATTTTCCTAATGAAGTAAAGTGAAATTTTGCATTAGATGGTTGTGTATATGCAAAATATTTTCAACAACTCGGAAACAAAGGCCAGAAACCTGCTAGTAGTGTTTTCCAACAGGAACTGGCATAGGAGAGCCTCATATCTTAGGTTTCATTGGTTTTTCAAAAAGATTCTTTGTTTAGACAGAAAATGATATGTACTTACAAAATCGTTATACAAATACCTATCAAGAAGAGCAGCTTTTTAAACTTTGCTGACACACAGTCAAGGATTGGCACAAAACAGTTTGCTGAACCAGAGAGAAATTAAAAAGGCAATGAATATTGATGACAAATCACACTTCAGAAAGCATTCTTTTTATTTAAAGTGCAAAGCCAGGTCATTCTCCATGTGCCAAAAGAGAGACAACATACCTTGGGCAAGGGCTTCTTCCCCTGATGACAGTTGATTCCACCAACGAAGACCATGTTGGGCATCACGGGTCTGGGATAGTCAAGAACAAAGTCACTGCGTAACAACCAAATCGATGTTTGGCTGAAGAGGTCATATGCTGTGACCGGTGTTTGGAGAATTTCAGAGGCAAGTTCTACGACTTTCTTATAAAAATAAGGGCAAAATAAATGCTCCTCCAAATGGAAGATATGGTTCCAAACTCTCTGCGTGAAACTCATCACATCTGAGAAACCCAAGAGAATTCTGGGAACGTAAGACAGAGGAGCAGGGCACTGTGCACCTTCTTCAAGATAATGGCAAAAAATTCCTCGGGAAAACACAACAGATGGAAGAGAAAAATATTTGGCAACAATAAGGCCACATGCATCGAAAGGATCCAGAAACACTGCATCAAAAGAACTCTCCTTTAGATACTGCACTAACTTCTTGTCCTTAAACAAGCTCCTACAATGTGAGAAACATAAATCAAAAAATCCAGCAGATGAATTGGCGAAGAACAAGAACACACCTTGCTCTTGAATTTTCCACTGGGCCTCAGCAAAATTCTTGAACTCCCGGTCCAAATCCTCCAAGGTGTAAGATGTTGAGTAAGTCTTTACAGTGAAATTTAGTGACTGTCCCAGCTGCCAACTGACCTCTGGCATAACCGTGACCACCTCGTGTCCTCTCTGGATGAGTTGCTCCACCACTGAGCGCATGGTGAACCAGTGGCTCCCGTCCATGGGCACCACCAGCAGCCTGCCTGCCTGAGAAAAGCCAGATGCCAGCAGCAGACATAGGCACAGAGGGAGCGGGGCAGGTAAGAATGTAGGAGCCATGGGGACTGCAGCCCAGAAGCTCTCAGCTGCTCACACTCTCAGCTGGTGAACAGTGGGGTAGATAGAGGAAGTACAAACACAAACCCTGTGCTCACAGAAAGGCGTGGCTTCATATGCTCATAAAAGAAATTACACATACTACCAATGATTGCATTTAAGATTAATCATTCATGAGTTACATTTTAGAAGTAATCTCCTGATATACAGGCTATATAAGGATGGCTTTTGATCTTTGTCCTAGTGAAAGTCATTTCCTGAAATTCAGAATTCAGATTTCACAAAGATTAAATACAAATAAACATGAATATAGGTAGTAGCTGCACAATTATTCTAGGTGCAAATTTGAATTTATCTTCCAACCACCAAATGTTCTGTGCTTGCAGCCCTGATTTGAAAGACCAGGTGTACGTTCACCCTGCCCTCCTCTCTGGCAGTGGAAAGGCTCTTCACAAGCAGCTCTGCAATGGACAGGCATAGCTGACTGCTTTGCTCTATTTCGAGCAGGATCCGCACTTCTTTTTCAAACCCTCTGAGGACTCACAAACCCAGAATTCAGACTGACAATTCCCCTACATGGACGGTGTCAGGGATCTGACGAAAGCTGACTCCATCTACTTTAAGTCATGTCCCCATGAAAGCACGCAGTGCAGCGGCTGCTTACCTGTTCAGTACCAGCCCAGGCACTCTGCTCCAGGGCCACTTGCTTTCATCTTGCAGTGCTTTCATGTCCTGTTCTGAGATAAGGAACTTTCCTCTGAGCTCATTCTAACCACTCCTGGTCCCTCTTTCAGGAATCCAACTTACTTGTCCCCCACACCGAAGTAAGCACGCAGGTCAGAGAAATGACTTTTGCATGTTTTCACCCTCCTTCCATCCCACCTACACTGTGCCCTAAGACACAGAACACAAGCTGCTTCCCATTTGGTGACATTCAACCGATTTCTGGCTTCCTTTGTAAGATGAGCCTGTTGGTGTTTGTAAGACCACTCCCTCAGGGGCATTTCATGAAAGGGTCTATGCCAACTCAGGGACACAATCCATCAGAACATGTGAAGGACCTTCTGAGATACTTAGCTATTTTCAGATATTTCCTCAGAGTCTGGGACAACTGCCCTCTCCAGTAAAATCTTACTCCACTGACCCCATACAGACAGTTTCCAACTTTCATATGACAGAGACGAGAAGAAAAAAAATCCGATTTGATCTAAGAAATCAAGCAGCAGATATACTCAAAATTGCTCAATGATTCCTCCCAGGCACCAAGATTCCCTCTTTCACAGATATTGATGAAGCAATGAGCTTAAAACAGAAAATCAACTCTACCCTCAGAGACAAATCATAGAGAAATCTACCCTGAGAGAGAAATCTGCTCTGGATCCACAGCAAAACACTACTCAATCTACAGTCCACACTGGAATGCTGCCTAACAGCAGATCCCAAAAGCAGGAACTGCCTGGATAGAGAAAGCAAACTCTGACTGGCCTCACCTGAAGCCACACCAGGACCCAGTCCACAACTCTGCCAGAGTTTTCACCAGATAGGGGACGCCAGACAGCAAGCCCGTCTCTTACCAGAGCACAGGCAGATGGCCAGCCAACTAGAGACTCGACAAGGTTTCTGGCTGCCAGGAGTTGTCCCTGGCTGGTCCTGCCAGATTACAGGCTGCATGAAGTAGAGAAGGCCCATCCCTGTCACAGATCACCCTGAAGGGCCAGCAGATGGAGCTGCACACACAAACAGCAGGAGCATAAGAAAGATCAATTAGGAAATCGAAGTGAACTAATAAAGCTCCAATAACGCACTCCAGAGAAATGGAGATCGATGAAATGACTGCAAAGAATTCAGGAATCTCCCATTTTAAAAATTCAGTGAACTCTAGCAACGTATGGATGTAAAAGATTCATGAAATTTGGAAAACAGTCCACAAAAACAAGAAGAGGTGGCAGAAATACAAACAATAAAGAAGCAGAAAATAGGCCCCAAGACTGTCAAACCAGCATGCTGAAAGGCTGAAGCAGGAGAGTCAAAATCTCAACCCAGCCTGGACAATTTAACAATATCCTTGTTCAAAATTTAACATGTGAAAAAGACAAGGGATGTATTGGAAAAGCCATGGTTCATCACCAAGTATTACCAAAAAAAGGAAAAACTAGCAGCAAATACTTCCAGAGATGAATAAAACAATGTGACAAATCAGTAGAAAAACTGAGACATAACATCAAGGTAGACAGATTTCCCTCCTTCCATTTTCAGTCTATGAATTTCTTTTTGAGCGATTCCTCTTGAACTTTTCCTCCAGCAAGTGTGTAATGACCTTCTTTATCTCTTGCAATCATTTATGGTTCAAAATTCACATTGTCTTCAAACAGAATACTTACTCCTGCTTGTTTTCTGGATCCCTGTTGCATGGAAAATAGGTTTCTATTCTTCCATTTTCAGTCTATGAATTTCTTTTTTGAGCTAAATGTGTTTCTTTTGTACAGCATATTGTTGGATCTTGTTTCCTGATCAATTCTGCCTCTGTTTCATATGATTGGTAAATTGAGACCACTGACATTGATGGTTATAACTGATATGCATTGGCTTACCTTTGTTGTGATATTTTCTTGCTGCTGGTTCCCTAATATTCCCCTCTGTTTAACTGCTAACCCTGCCTGCTTTCTTTCCATTGTTCTTCTTGGAACTGTGGTTATCACTATCTCTGTCTAGAATATCTTTTAGTACTCTTGTAGGATTCGTTTTGGATCATGAATTTCTTCAGTTGTGCTCTGTCATGGAAGTATCTTATTTCTCCATTAAATTTGAAAAACAGTTTTTTAGGGTACATAATCTGGGTTGGAAGTTGCTTTCTTTCAGGACTTGAAATACTTCACTCCAAATTCTTCTTGACTTCAGGATTTGTATTGAAAAGTCTGCCATGAGGGGCTGGGGATTTAGCTCAGCGGCATAAGCGCCTGCCTTGCAAGCAGGCAGTCGTGAGTTCGATCCCTGGTACCAGTAAAAAATGAAAAAGACAAAAAAAAAAAAAAAAAAAAAGAAAAGTCTGCCATGATTCTGATGGATTTTTCTTCTATAAGTGACCTGTTTCTTTTCTCTAACAGCTTTTACTATTCTATTCTTGCGCTGAATTTCTGGAATCTTTGTTTATATATATTGGTGTAGTTTTATTTTGGTCATGGTTGTTTGGAGCTCTGTATGCTTCATTTATTTGTATGTCAAATTCTTTGTCCACATTTGGGAACTTTTCTGACATTTCTGTGGAGAATGTTTTTATGGTCCTTGCGCTATTTCCGGCATTTTCATTAACCCTATTCAATATGTTATTTCTTTTCGCATTTTCTTGCAGCTATTCGATTGATTTTTCATGGTCTCTTGTGATTTTTAAGATATCTTGCTTTTCATGATCATTAGTTACCATTATGTCTTCAAGATGTGCTCTTCTGTCGTCTCCTTCATTCAGTCTGTTTGTATATATTCTTAAAGGTTTAAATGCTTTCATTTCTGTTTGAATCTGTTTCATAGATACCATTTCTTTCCTATGTTGGGCATTTTTTGTTTCCATCAGTTTTCAAGCTCATCTATTCTTTTATCTGTGTCTTCTCTAATATCTTTGTCAGCATCATTAATTTCTGTACCTGGGATACTATTTTCTGTATAGCCTCTGTCACTAGTTTTTTTCAATTCTGTTGCTATCATTTCAGAAAGCTCCAGTGATTGATTTCCTATTTCTCTTATTTCATTGTGTTCTGAGCTTCTCCTTAGTGGTCTTGGGATCTGTAGTTATGTTTTGCTTCTATGGCTTGTCATTTTGTAATTTCTCTTTATTATTTTATTTAGGTTTCTATGTTGATACTTTCTGGCTTTTATGGTTGAAAGCTTTATCACTAGTATTGAGGCTTCCCTAGGAGACGGCTGCTTTTCCTGGATGTCCTCTGGGTGTACACTGCTCTTTGTTAACTATCCCAAGAATCTGCCTTCCCAACTGTAAAGGTTGCAAAGTCACTCTCTGGCTCTGAGTCCTTCATACTCGGTTTTGTTTTTCATTATAACCCTGTAAAATCACAGAGTTACACACAGGGGAGAAAAACTGATATATCACATCCTGGCTACAATAGGCCACTTAGCAATCACAATAGCTTCAAGTACAGTTTAGCTACAGAAATATGGTAATCTTTAATCTATTGCTTCCATTAGAGCAGACTCTAAAGTTATATAACAAAATAACTATATTTCTATGCAGCAATTGCCCCCTCAGTGAAATGATTTTAACCTTTTTTTTGGAGCAGAGAAGTTAAAACGCGTAGGGAACAGACTAAAGTGGTGAACAAGGTCAAATACAGTAGAGTCAAGGCTGGAGGTCAAAAGATGATCACTCAAGTTTTGGGAAACTGCAGGATGCAGGAGGGAATGAATTAAATAGAATGTGCAGTACTAATCATAAGGGAAAGAAACATGTTTACTCACTTGAAAGCTTAAATTCATAAACTAGGTAAGGAAAGAGAGAAAGACACTCAGTAGAAGAAAATGAAACAATAGATAAGAAACCCAAATGGTAAACAAAAAAGAAGCAAGAGCCAGGAGAATGAAAGGAAGAAAAGAAAGAAAAACAGTGGACCTAAGAAAGAGAGGAGAAAGAAAAAAAATCGAAAACCAGAAAATAATAACAAAACACAGGACAAAAAATATGACTTCCAAACAGATAGGAAAAGGATAACAAATCAGACACCCAAGAGAGAAAAAAGGTAATAAAATACCACTGGTGTCTACAGTTCTGAATTGTGACCAAATCCGATCCCAAAAACGTGCCATCTGTGGGGCAGATCTTGACCTCAGGATATGGGTGCCGGGACTTTGTTGGATGGAGCTCTCCAGGGCTCAACTGCAGCTCCTCGTTGCTACTTTGGTACGTCCATGTTGCTGGCCTTCCTGATTACTCTGTGCTCCTATGACCTGCTGTCCTGGGTCTTTGGCATTCCATTCCATCAGGCTGCTACAGGCACAGGTGAGCCCATATGCCCAGGTTCAGCCTGTCCTGGGTCTCAGGGTTTGGTCCTGCCTTCCACCAAAGGTTCATGTGCCCAAAGCAAAATTTTGACAGTAACAATAGTAGAAACATCACATACAAAAAGTCAATACATATATTAGTGGATTTGTACAAGAAATTTTTCACACCAAGAATGTATTATCCAACAAAACTGTTTTCTCAGATGAGAAATCAAAATTTTCCCACAGAAACAAAAATTTATGAGTCTCAGTACTAGAAAAAATTGTAAAGGCAGTTCCTTAAATGGAAAGCAAACCAACATTGAGAGTATGAAAATTTAGGAAAAATCACAACTTAAAATACATGAAAGACAAATGTTGATTGCATAATTAAACCAGACCCTTAATAAAATATTTTAAGATTATAATATTGGGATGTTAGACAATTTCAACCCTAATATATTGGATAACGTATAAAATCATGAATAAAAGTCATAGTTAAAATACATGGTAAAGCCATGCACATGACAGCATAATGGAAATTCTGACATTCAAACCATGAATGTTTAGAGAAGAGACAAGAGTAAATGTATATCCTATCAGTTAAAAGGTGTCTAAGAGTGAAGTTCACTGGAAAAGTGTGTGCTTAGTCCATGGGAAGTCCTCAGTTCAGTTTGCAGCACTAAATTATATTAATGATAACAACATTAAGAAAATATATAGTGTTATTTTTAATTAAACAATCAAGTAGTACAAATATTCTATGCTGGCCTTAGAGTAATTACAATGCAAATCTCTTTATTAGAATCACAAATAGAGAGGACTTTAAAGCATATGATTACTGAAACACACGAACTCACCAAGCAAGACCAAAGAGAAGGAAAAAATGCAAAGCATTTAAAGCAGAGTAGAGCTAGAAAACAATCAATACAGTGGCAGTAGTAATTCATTACCAATCAAGATCACTTGAAATAAGTTAAATCTCCAGTAAAAAAAAACAATTTAATACACCAAAAACAAAAAACAAACCACAAAAAATGAAATTCTGTTTGATGCCACCTATCTGTGTCTCTACAGGTAAGTAGAAAATTAGGGGATGGAAAAATATGTGTACAGCAAAAATGAAAAATAAAAATGGGTAGCTATACTTAGCACAAACAAAACTGATTTCAAGCCAGAGTCTTAGCATCGTGGAAGTGGACAACTTCTAGCACTAAATTGTATCAAAATGTATGACCATATTACAAAGAAAATTGATCCTCATATATCTCCTTGAACTAGGAAAAGAAAGAACACCTCAAAATAGACACAAAGAGGAAGTATCAGAGAATAAATGAGTGAACTAGAGAGTGGAAGATTACAAACATCCAGAAAGCTAAATATGTATCTTAAAGCAAAACACACACATATTTCACACAACTCTTCTTTAAATGGATAGGACTGGCACAAGAATGACCTCAGAGAGACTTCGACTACCCAGTGTAAACGATAAACTCTCCAGTACAGGCAACAGCTTGACCCTGGTAAACAAGAACCAAAAGCAATTAAAAGTTTCACGTAGGACTAAGGGTCGCCCCGCAGTCCTCTGATGCCACCTTGTGTACCAACCTGTGCTGAGTGCACCTACAGCCTTAAACTCAAACATCTCATCCAGATTCTTTTGAGAGTCCTTGAAATTGCGCCTCCAGCCTTAAAAGCTAAATGAACTCAGTCCCCTCCTTTAGATATTTGCTGATATTCATTCAGATGTTAGACTACTTATAGATGAGCTGTCTTCCCCAGAGTTTTAGATTCCAATAACTCCCCATGCACCATAATTAACAATAATGACAATTACATTCTCACAAAAAATGTAAAGTATGATGCCAAAATTCACATGCACTCACAAAGTATTGATTATTTAAGATACCTTATGAGGTAACTCTATAATAAAACTGAAATAGTACAATATCTGCAAAAAGAAAGACATAGTGACCAGTGATCAGAATACAGAAGTAAAAAATGCACCTAACATGAATAGACTTTTCACAAGATATCAAAAATATTTAATTCATAAACAATATCCTCTTCAATAAACTTCTAAAGAAAACAATGTCTATATGCATACAAAAATTCGGACCCTTCATCCATATTATATTTACCATTCAACTAAAAATGAATAAAACATCCAACTGAAGACAGAAATAATAGAACTATGGAAAGAACAACAGAAATAAATTATAAATACTGATGTAGCCAGTGATTTTTTTATCTGAGTCCAAATGCACAAGGAAAATAAATTAAATAAATGGGGTTACATCAAACACAATTTTTCTCTGCAGCAAAAGAAACAATCAATGATATTAAACACACACTAGGAATTGATTTAAAAAAATTTATAAAAATACATCCAGTGGAGGGTTCATGTCCAACTCCAATGGTAGAACCAAAGATCTTTTATGGTTGTGTAGATGTATAACACCTGCATACTACTACAGCGTCAATGCCTCTAACCAACGCCACTAGACTAGACTTAGTAGCCAGTGGCTAGACTTAGTAGCCAATGCTACTGAAACTCATCAAAAAGTGGAAGAGACTGGCAGTGCTTTCTTTATTTTCTTGATCTAAGCAATTTTACTCTTCTCCTGAATGATGATCTACATGTGGGACTAAGGTCGCCCTGTAGTCCCCTGATGCCAGCTTATGTACAACCTATGCTGAGTGGCCCTACAGCATCAAACTCAAATAGCTTATCTAGAATTTTGAGATTCTTCAAAATTGAACCCCTACACCTAAAACCTGTATGTACTCAGTCCCCTCTTTAGCTATTTACTGATATTCACTCAGATGTCAGACTGCCTATAGATAGATGAAGAAAGTCTGTTCTTCCCAGGAGTTTTAGGCTCCAGGCGGCTCCTCATGTACCATCAATAACAACAATGACAATTATCTTCCTCATAAAAATGTAAAGTACAATGCCAAAATTCACATGCACTCACAAAGTATGGATTATTTAAGATACCTTATGAGGAAACTCTGGAATGAAATTGAAATAGTACAATATCCACACACACACAAAAAAAAGACACAGTGATCAGTGATCAGATTTCACAAGTAAAAGATGAACCTAACATGAATAGATTTTTCACAAAAATAACAAAAAACATAATTTATAAAGAATAGTCTCTTCAATAAATATCTAAGAAATACTGAATCTCCATTTTCATCAAACAATAAGAACTTTCATTCATATTATACTTAACATTCAACTAAAAACGAATAAAAGATCCAACCAAAGACACAAATACTAAAACTACTAAAAGAACAACAGAGGAAACTATAGTATACTGGTGTGGACAGTGATTTTTTAAAATCTGAATTCAAAAGCTTAAGGGGAATAAACTGGACAAATGGGTTTACATCAAGCAAACATTTTCTCTACAGCAAAGGAAACAATCAATGATATTAAAGACACCCTAGGTATTGTGAGAACATATTCATAAGCCATACGGCCAGTGGAGGGTTCGTGTCCAAATCCACTGGTAGAAGCACAGAACTTTTATGACCATGTCACTATATAACACCTTCATATTGCTACAGCCTGAATGTCTTCAACCTGTACACACTGAGCCGTGTTCCTCCCAGCTAGACTTAGTAGCCTCTGCTACTGAAACTGATCAAAAAGTGGAAGAGACTGGGACTGCTTTCTTTATTTCCTTGACCTAAGTAATTTTACTCTTTTCTTCAATGGTGATATACCATACTTGAAGAGAAAATTAATTCCATCTCTAGACATAAGTAGCATGGAGAAATTCAGGACGATTTCTTGACAGGAGGGATGCATCCCCCTCAGGGATGCAACGTTTGTAAGGCCTAAGACTCTGCATACAAACACACATACTAACAGACACAAACACACGTACTCACCAGTACACCAGCATCATCACACATACCCTATCACCATAGCTTCCCTCCTATCAAGAAGGTGCACTTCATGGCATGACTGATCTTCCTAAGCAATGCAAAAGGTTAACAGGTTTCTCAAGAAAGCTGTACACCTGACATAAGAATGGACAGGTGTATGGGGTCCACAGCCCTCTGGATGAGACTTTCTTTGGAATTTTAACCTATCCAGGCTCTAAGTCAATGGACCATCTTTGACATCTGAATATATCTTTCAGAGTTTTACGTAAGTTCTAGTCACACTCAAAAATATAGAAATTTTTAAGATTTTCATATATATCCTTCAAAAAACCAATTTTCATTTTATAAATACATACATGATCGTATTTATTACATATTTTATAACATTTTAAATGTATGTTAGAGTATGCACACAAGTATATAGACAACACCCTATGGCACAATGCATTTCACATTCTCAGAAATATCTTTGTGTGGTGGGTCACATAAAATTGCACACATCATTTATATCTCTAAATCCCTCTGAGTGACCCAGTGAACCACACTCAACTTTCTCTTAGTTCAGGAAGTTTCAGGGTCCAGCCTTGGGTAAAGAGCATAATGACAGATGCAAAGCACAGAGAGATATGTGCCCAAGTTCAATGTCTTTGGATCCTCGTCATGCCATCAGTCGAAATTCAAGCAAAATATTGATGACCCTACAACTGTAGTCATCCTACTTCATAGAAATTAAATTCTATCATCACTTTACCCTCGTTAACCGAAGACCCCCATCTTGAAACCCTGTTAATATGTCCCAGACCATGATTTAGCTATAAGATCATCTCGATGAGTATAAAGACAAAACAAACTAATACAAATGCATACCTCCTCCAATAAAAGATATCAGATACTTAATCTGAATGAAACAACTATTCATTCACCTAGAGTATTACTCATATATTTCTTAAGATTTCTACTATTATAAGATGCAAACACAACTACAAAGACGCTCAGCCACCAGATCTTTGACAAAGAGTCTAAACAAGTTCACTGTAAGAAGGATAGCCTCTTTAATAAATGGTGTTGGAAAAATTTGCTCTCCACGTGCCGAAGGCTAGCTAGACCCATGCCTATCACAATGTGTAAACTAAAATCAAAGTGGATCAAAGATCTAAATATTAAAACAGAAACACTATATCTACTGGAAGAAAAGGTAGGTAGAAGTCTTGGAGACACAGGGACAGGCAGAGAATTCATGAACAAAATGCAAACTGCACGGGAAATACTTTAAACAATTAACAATTGGGACCTCATATGTTTAAAAAGTTTTTGCACTTCAAAAACACTACCAAAAAGGTGAAAAGAAACTCTACTGAATAGGAAAAAATTTTAACCCTCAACCCCTCAGACAAAGAACTTATATCTAAAACATAGAAAAAATTGAAAAACATCAGGACCCCTTAAATTCAAAGACCATCTCCAAAAATGGGCATCTGAGATGAACCTAGAGTTCTCAGATAAAGACATATAAATGGAAAATAAATACAAGAAGAAATTTTAACCATCACTGGTCATTGAAGAAATGCTAATTAAAACGAATTGAGATTTCATCTCACCCAAAAAAGAATGGCACCCATCAAGAAACCAACTGATAACAAATACTGGTGAGGTTGTGGGCAAAAACGAACACTTTTTCACTGTTGGTGGGAGTGTAGACTGGTGCAGCCACTATGGAAATCACTATGGAGATTACTCACAAGACTTGGATTACAAGTTCCTTTCAATCCAGCTATTTCCCACCTGGGTATTTTCCCATAAAAACTGAAGAAGTCATGTCACAGTGATATACGTGCACCCATGATTATAGGAGCAAAATTTGCAGTAGCTAAATCTTGGAAACAACCAAAATAACCATCAAAAACAAGGTAGATGAAAAAGATATGGTATTTTTATACAAAGGAATATTACTCAGATATATAAAGGATGATCTTGAGGCCTTTATACGTAAATGGAATGAACTAGAGACTATCCTCATAAGTGAAATAAATAATAATCATATTGATAAATATCACATTGTGTCTCTGATGTAAAAAGTAATAAAAATCGGAGGAGTAATAAGATCTGAAATGTGTAATTGCTACTGTAAAAAAGAAAAGGAAGGAAAGTACTCCAAAGGATATAACTGGATGTATCTTTAACTGTGTAAGATAGATAACCACATTACTAACTTTTTGTTGGATCGCTGAATAGAACAGTTTGCACTATCATTGTTTGATTGTCTACTTCCTGTGTCTCAATTTTGTAACTTGAACAACTATTTCTAAGGTGATAATATGTAATTTATCAATTAATGATCACTTAGCATTAATTTTTCTTGAAATTCTGTATTATTTCTACTCTTTTTTCTGTTTTGCTTTCTGTTTTTCTTTAAATAAAAAAGATTTCTTCTATTATAAATTGTTGAATCCAAATTTCAGTGACACAGCCCTCTAGTACTGTTACACAATGTTTTTGAAGTGCGTGTTCCCAAAATGCAGAGCAAATATTTCTGTGGTCTGAAAGAACAAAACCTGAAGTTCAGAGTGCTAAGGCCTGGGCCCCATGTAGCGCTATTGGAAAGTCACCTGAGCCTCAGGAGCCTAGAGGGAGCTGCATAGACAAGGGACCTGGAAGGGGACCTTGGATTTCATCCCTCTGGAGTCACACATTTGGTTTCCTGGTTCCTCCAGGGAGAACTTGCCTCCATCCACCCTCTCACCCTAATGCAAGGCACTCACCACACAGACACTCATAAAACCACAACCAATCAATTTTGGACTGCAAGTTTCAGACCTACAAAGCAAGATCAACCTTTTCCCTTTATGGGTAAAGGACCTCAAGAATTTCCTGATAGATTCACAAAGCTGAGTGATTTTGGTACTATGAATATCAAAGAGAAAATCATTAGTCAAGGATAGTTTTTACATAAGTCTCACAAACTCATAAAGAAAAAATAAGAATATGGCTAAATAACCAGTTTTTCATTTGGTAAAGGAAAATATGAGAATAGTGAAGAAAGGTTAGAAGTATGCACAGTCAAAACAGGCATTTCACTACCAGACATTAAAGCTCGCTACTTTAATTAAACTGAAGTTCTCAAGAATCAACAGCAAAAGAGGATGGTAGACAAAGTGAGTGGTCAGAAGCAGATGCAGAGAACATAGAAAATTAAAATAACATGAGGATGCATTTCTGTTCCACGAGTGAGAACACAATTATTACTAAATGGTATGGGCACAATCAGTTATACTTTGGAAAATAAGTAAAATTGGATCCTTTCACTCTGTGGATTAAAGGACTACTTGAAAAAAATAAAGGGTATCAACACTGCAAGAGTTTTAAAGAGAAAATATATACAATAAATTTCTGTGCCTCAGTTCTGGGAAAAAGCACACTAAAGAAATCCAAAAAGCACTAAATTAAGGTTACCCAATTTGACTATGGGAAAGTGAAACACTATAAGGAAAAATAAATGAAGAAGCCAATGAAAACTTGTTGGCAATACCTAGATTCAACTAAGTACTGAAATTTCAAATATCGAGACCTTATAGCTACTGTTTATAAAAACAGCTCTGTCAAATTGAATAAAACATGACTATGGAACTCAGAAAAGAAGAAATGCAAATGGTCAACAGAACAATGGCAGCAGAATTCAAAAATTACAGCAGATAAACACAAAATTTTTGAGCAGAAAATTCAGAAAACCTTAAACATTAGACAACGTCTGTAATCCAGAGAGTCATAAAAAAACAAAACTCTCAAAGAAAAGTAAAACTAGGGTGAGATCAAATAACATACAAAAGCAAATTATTCAAGAAGGATATGTGCATTACACCCAGACAATCTGTTCCTGGCACTTCAGATTATTCAGGTAATAAAGATAACATGAAAATATTTGAATGTAAAGAAAACAGGTAGAGGTATTTTCTGAGTCTTGTTCAAGAAGGAAAAAGTAGAAAAAGTATAATTTTAACCATCAGTTGGTTTTATAAATTAAATGGAACCAGATATTTTTTAACAAAATTATTAAAAGAATATGTCAAATCTTTAATGTTGGCCTGTGAATGTGTCTACTAATATGGAAAAGTGAAAAATTCAAGACAAAGAGAAATACATCTAGTGCATTTTTCATTTTAGTTTACTCATAGTGATGAGAAATTTTGCATGCGATACATACACATCTGTGTTCCAATTTCAAAACTTAGAAATCATGCACACACATTTTTAGACTATGTTCCCATAGGTGGAAACAGCACACTTGCATAAAATATAGCTTTTGCCAGTGTTTTTGAGACAAATAATATTAAAAAACAATCTGGAAATCACATATACTTGAACCAATTTTTTATAATGCACACAAACAAAGGATGCTGTATGAAATTTATAAATCAGCAATGAAATAAAACAAAGCAACATATTGAACCAAAAAGACATTCATGGATCATCAGGAAGAAATCTTTTTAATTTATGTGCAAAGTCATGATACCCTGACTGTGCCAAAGGACAGAAAGAACGTACCTTAGACAAGGGCTTTCCCTCAAGGCAATTGATTCCACCAACGAAAACCATGTTGGGCATCACAGGTCTGGCAAAGTCAAAGACAAAGTCCATGCGTAACAACCACACTGATGGATGACTGAAAAGATCATATGTGCTAACAGGTCTTTGGAGAATTTCAGCAGCAAGTTCTAAGGAATTTTTATAGAAATAATTGCAAAATAAATGCTCCTCCAGGTGGGTGAAAAGATTCTGCACTCTCTCTTTGAAACTCATAACATCCGAAACTACTGAGAAAAGTCTGGGAACATAAGAAAGCGCAGAGGGGCACTGTGTGCCTTCTTCAAGAAGGTGGCACATTACTACCCTGGCAAAGGCCACAGATGGCAATGAAAAATACTTGGCAACAATTAAGCCACACACATCGAAAGGTTCCGTCAACAGCACATCAAAAGAAGTCTTTTTTAAATACTCAACTATTTTCTGTGCATTAAACAAACCCCTACAACATGAAAAGGTAACGTCTAGAAAGTGTTTGGATGAACTTGTTGTAATAGAGTACATACTTTGCTCCGGAGTTTTCCACTGAGTGTCACGAAAAAGCTGAAATGCATGATTCAACTCCAGCACAGTAAACGAAGTTGGCTAGGTCTTTACTGTGAAGTTCAGTGACTGTCCCAGTTGCCAACCAGCCTCTGACATGACCACAACCACTTCATGTCCTCTCTGGATGAGCTTCTCTAGCACAGAGCACATGGAAAACCATGGGCTCCCATCCAAGGGCACCACCAGCAGCCTGCCTGCCTGGGTAAAGCCTGAAGCCAGCAACAGACACAGGAACAGAGGTAGAGGGACAGGCGAACTTACAGGAGCCATTGGGACTACAGCCCTGAGTCAACTAGGTGCTCGGACACAGCGTGTGTGATGCAATGGTTAGAACAAGTACAGGCACAAAACCTGCTACAGAATGGGTGGAGATTCATATATCAATACAGGAAGCAGCACTCACTGAAAATGATTTACTCAGAGCAATAATGATTAGCGAGGTTCATTTGCCGACATCCCTACAAGCACATATTCCAGACATCGACAGTTTGTCATCATTGTCAAATATATTACTGCCCTACATGGTGAACTTGCAAACACAGATATTGAAGAATGGAATTTAACATTAAGATATCACAAAATTGAAAGTCAGTGTTCATTGATTAAAGTTTCTATTACCATAAATTGTGAAACAGAAAAATTTACACATGGTTTTCCCATAACCCAGGTTTCAGCCCAGCTCTCGAAAATCTCTGCGAGTTCCACAAACACACATGGTCACAGACACAAACACACATACTCACCAGTATACCAGCATCATCACACACACCCTATCACCAAAGCTTCCCTCCAATCAGGGCGGTGAACTTTACAGCATGACTGGTCTTGCTAAGTAATACGAAAGGTTAACAGGTTTCTCAAGACAGCTGTACACCTGACATGAGAATGGACAAGTGTATGGGTCCACAGGCCTCTGGATGAAAACTTTCTTTATAATTTTATTTGATCCAGACTCTAAGTCAATGGTTCATCTTTGACATCTGAATATATCTTTCAGAATATTACATCATTTTCAGTCACACTCAAAAACATACAAATTTATTAGACTTTAATATATATCCTTTAAAAACTGTATTTTCATCTTATAAATACATGCATAATCATTTTATTGCATATTTTACTGTATATTTTAAATATATATTAGAATATACAAATAATCAAGTATATAGAAAACACCATCCGGCACAATGCATTTCACATTCTAAGAAATTTCTTTCTGTGGTGGGTAATATAGAATCACACACATCTTTTATATCTTTAAGGTCCTATGGGTGACCTAGTGAACATCACTGAACTTGCTCTTGGTGCAGGAACTTGCAGGATCCAGCCTAGGATAAACAGCACCAAGACAGACCATAAAGCCAGAGAAATGTGTCCCCAGATCCAACCTCAATGGGTCCTGGTCTTGCAAAGAGTAGACATTCAAACAACATATTAATGCACCTAAATCTGTAGTCATCCTGCTTCATAGAAATTAAACTCTTTCATTTTGCCACTAGTGTCTGAAAAAACACCCAACCTCAAAACCCTATTAATACGTCCCAGATCATGATTTAGCTGTAAGATCAACTCGATGAGTATAAAGACAAAACAAACTAAAACAAATGCATACTTCCTCCAATAAAAGGTATCAGGTGCTTAATCTAAATGGAACAACTATTCATTCACCTAGAATATTACTCACGTATTTCTTAAGATTTCTTCATTTTATAAATAGTTGAATCCAAGTTTCAGTGATCCAGCCATCTAGTAGCCATCTTCCAAACATCTCACACAATGTTTTGGAAGTGTGTGCTCTCATAATGAAAAGCACATATTTCTGTGGTGTGCAAGAACAAACCCTTAAGTTCAGTGCGCTGAGGGCTAAGCCCTATGGTGGTGGTATTGGGAGGTCCCATGAGCCTTAGGAGCCTGGAGGGAGATGCATGGACAAGGGTCCTGGAAAAGAATGTGGATTTCCTCTCTCTGGAGTCTCACATTTGCTTTCCTGGTGCCTGCAGGGAGAACTTGCCTCCTCCCACGCTCACCATAATGCAATGCGCTCACTAGACACTCATAAAACCACAACTAATCAATTTTGGACTGCAAGTTTCAGACCTTTGAAGCAAGATCAACCTTTTCCCTTTACAGGTATAGATCCCAGGAAATTCCTCATAGATACACAAAGCTGAGTGATTTTGGCACTACAAATATTGGAGATAATTATGAGTCAATGAGAGTTTTTACATAATAAATCTCACAAATTCATATAAGAAAATAAGAATAAGGCTAGATGGCCAATTTTTCATTTGATAAAGGAAAATATGAGAATAGCCAACAAAGTTTAGAAGCATGGACAATCCACAGAGGCATTTCACTATCAGACATGAAAACTCAATTCTTAAACTGTAGTTCTCAAGAATCAACAGTAAAAGAGGACAGTGGGCAAAGTGAGTGGTCAGAGGTAGACTCAAAGGACATAGAAAATATAAACAAAATAAAAATGCATTTCTGTTCCATGAATGAGAATACAATTATTCTTAAGTAGTATCAGAAAATCAGTTATACTTTCAGAAAATAAGTAATTGAATCCTTTCACTCTGCAGATTAAAGGTTAAACTGGAAAAAAATGTGAGGTATCAACACTGGAAGAGTTTTAAAGAGCAAAATATATACAAGATATTTCTGTGCCTCAGATCTGGGGAAAAGTACTCAAAAGAAATCCAAAAGCACTAAATTAAGGTTAACCAATTAGATTATGCAAACGTGACACCCTGGAAGACAAAAAAAAAAAAAAAATTGAAAAAGTCAATGAAGAATTGCTTGGAATGCCCAGATAAAAGCTAAATTTGAAATTCCTAGTATTCAATCCTTACAGGTATTGTTTGTGAAATCCAGCTTTGTCAAATTTAATTAAACATGAATATGTAATGCACAAAAGAAGAAATACAAATGTCCAACTGAGAAATGGCAGTAGGATTTAAAATCTACAGCAGCTATACACAAAATTTTTGTCCAGGAAATTAAGAAAACATGAGACACTGGACAATGTCTGTAAGACAGACAGGCATAGCAAAACTGAAAGTCTCAAAGAAAACTGGAATCACAGTGAGGTGATATAACATATAAAAGTGGTTCCTCAAATTATTAAACACTATGTGTACATCATTGAACTCAGAAACTCTGTTCCTGACTGCCTTGGTTACTTTTTACTTGTTGCTGAGACAAAATACATGAAGCCCAAAGTTGGGAAAAGAAAGGTTTATTTCTTATAGTTTTTGGAGTTTTCAGTCTATATTCAGTTAGCTCCAAGGAAGGGTAGCATGGCTGGGCCACAGTTCGTGGTGTCTACAAACAGCAAGGCAGAAACCCACAAGAGAGAGGCACACACCTTCTTCCTGCCATTACATTGCATTACACCACCCCTAGGCAAGTGTAGTACTCACACCCCCAATCCAAGCACTAGACAATGAATCAATTACAAATGCATAATGGGAACACAAGAGGCCTGGGGGCCACCAACATAAACCATGACATACCACCCCTGGCCCCTAGGACTGACTCATGTACATCCTTTATACAAAAGATTTAGCCCATCTCCATGAGTTGCCAAAGTCCTAACAGTTTCAGCATTGCTGAAAAGTTCAAGTCCCAAGTCTCCAAGATCTATGGCAAATTCTTAACTGTAACCCCCTGTACAAATGAAACTGTGTTAAGATCAGAGCTCAAGGACCCACCCAGAGCCCAGCCACACTAGGCTGTACTGGTCTGGCAGGTTTGAGGCTTGCACAGGACATGCCCAGCAACCTTCTCCAAAACCGAAAAATTCAGCTGCTGGTGGCTGGGGTGAGTCCGCTCCCCATCCCGAGCCTGGGAAACTTATTAAGATCATCACTCCCAGAGCTCAAGGACCCACCCTGAACCCAGCTACACTAGGCTGCACTTGTCCAGCAGGTTTCAGGCCTGCCTAGGACACGCCTAGCAACCTTCTTCAGAACCTGAAAATTCAGCTTGCGGCTGGGTGAGTCCGTTCCCATCCCTAGCCTGGGAGACTGCGTTAAGATCATCGCTCCCAGAGCTCAAGGAACCGCCCAGAGTCCAGAGACACTAGACTGCACTCTCCTGGCAGATTTCGGGCCTGCCCAAGACAAGCCCAGCGACCTTCTCCCAAACCGGGAAACTCAGCTGGAGGCTGGGGTGGGTTTGCGTGCCATCCCGAGCCGCAAGAGACTTATTAGGATCATCATTCTCAGAGCTCAAGGACCCACCCAGGTCCCAGCCACACTAGAATAGCCTTGGGAAGCTTTGCAGCCTGAGTAGACTACGCCCAGCAACCTTCTTCAATTATGGGAGTTGAGAGCAAGTGAAGTGAGTTCCAGGGCATTGGTCTTTGCTCAGGGAGAGCTTTCGCCCATCATTCATTATTTTCTTGTTAAGTAAGATACTTTGGGACAAAAGCACAAATGAAGAGTATTTTTGAAATGACAGCAAAAATTTTGAAAGACATAAAGGGGACAAATGAATATATGCAACAAAACAGGAAAATTTATTTGTACTTAAGAATGGACACACAAATTCATTACACTACAGTTTCGTTTTTGTATAAGGTTAAAAATTTGGAAAAAAAAAAGACAACAATCCTGGTCAGTAACTAACAGCTGAATATAAATTTGGACTATGTAATGAAGCCATAAAGTCAGAACAACAGTAGAAACACAGATTTTTTATTGCCATGTAATACCTAAATTCCTCTAAGGCCTTATTGCCGTGCAATGCTGTAACACCTGCATACTGTTGTACTCTAAGAAAATAGCTTCATTATATGTGTATTATAGCCAACCTGCAAACGTGGCTTACTAAGTGTGTTTTTTTTTCCTTTTTCCCTAACTGATATGTTAAGTGACCTAATTGATATGTTGAGCAACACTCTCCTCTGTAAAGAATTGCAAGAATCTCACCTAATTGATATGTTAACCATTGTTGCCCTCTACAAACTACAGAAGTTGTGCTAAAACAAGCTAACAAGGGTTGTTAATCATTGTTAGGCGCCTCTATTCTCCGCTAAAGAGCTAAAGAAAACTAGAATGGCCCATTAATTTACACTTGTTTAAAGTAACCTGCTTGTGTGCAGAGAGATTTGCGTATGAGTTTAATCCTTTACCCTGACCTTGACACATAACCGCCGTTTTCTGTCCTGTATGGCACCTTATTGCCTCCCTCTCCCCTCACCTATCTATCTAGGCCATAAAGAATTTGGGTTTCTGGTGACCTCTTCCCGACCCGGTGATGATCTGTCATAAAATGAGCCTGCCCCAATTTTAAGAACTGTTTAGCTTCAAAGAAATTACCGGGAAATACTATGGCCCAAACCCCAACCGGTGCTTTCCTTTTGTTCTGTATGCATCAAATGAGTTAGATATCAGATCTTTGTAAAACTTAAGTTTCAGCTTCTTGTAACTCTTGACCCCTTCGCACCCACTAGCGAAAACGAGCTGTCCTGGGATAATTAACTTCTCCACTTTCTTCTCCAAATATTACTGCAGATGTGCCACTCCGAGATAATGCCAGTCTGTAGGATGGGAGTAATTTGAGAAACACCAGGAACTCCCGAGATTGTCAGAGCTAAGTGGACAGCAATACAGTTTCCAGACTCGGGTCAACAAGTTTGATGGCTCTGCAGATTTCTTTGTTTCTCCCCCCCCCCCACTTTTCCTCCAGCCTCTTTTTAAAGTCCTCCCTTCAGTCTCTGGGACACAGTCTCCAAATTGGCTCCCGGAGACTGGTCGCCAGGCCTGGAAATAAAGCCTTTGCCACCTAAATTTTCGGTCTCTTGCCTCCTTGGATTTTATACCGGGGCCCAAGTTATAACACATACCTCCATTGCATTATTGCTGTGTAGCTCTGTAACACCTGCATACCTCTACAGCCTTATTGCCATGTAGCTCTATAACACCTGCATCCCTCTACAGCCTTATTGCCATGTAGCTCTATAACACTTGCACCCTCTACAGCCTTATTGCTGTGTAGCTCTATAACACCTACATACCCCTACAGCCTTATTGCCGTGTAGCTCTGTAACACCTGCATCCCTCTACAGCCTTATTGCTATGTATGTCTGTAACACTTTCATACCTCTACAGCATTATTGCCATTAGCTCAGTACCACTTGCATGCCTCTCCAGCCTTATTGCCGTGTAGCTCTATAACACCTGCATACCTCTGTGGCCTTTATAACTCTAATTGTACACACCACGCCTGCATTTCTTCCACTTAGACTTTGAAGCTAATTGTACTGAAACCCATCAAAAATTGGAAGAGACTGGGTGTGATTTCTTTGTCTCCCCCATCAAATCAGTTTTAATGTTTTCCTGAATGGTGATATACTCTACTTGATAAAGAAATTAATTCCATAATCAGATATATCCAGGAACTCAGGATGATTTGGTTACAGGAGGCCCCAGGAGTACACCTTACATAGGGCCTAAAACACTGCATACAAACACACATGCTCACAGACACAACGCACAATCAAACAAACCCTATCCTTCACTTTTCCTTCATCAGAAATACAATACAGATGCTGGTTCACCCAAGATGCCAAATTAGTTGATTTTACAAGAGACTGGCTGCACATTTGAAACAAGGACAAAGAAGGACAGAAGGAACTGCACACAAACACATACACACAAAGACACATACAAACAAGCTCACTAATACCCAAGCATCAAACATACACACCCTATCATGTCTCATTGAGGGAATGAACTTCACACCATGCCTGATCTTTCTAAGCAATATGAAAAGTGAATGGTTTTCTCAAGACAGCCTGTACACCTGACATTAGAATGGAGAAATGTATGGAGCCCACAAAACACTGGATGAAAACATTCTTTTGGAATTTTATGCCATCCAGACTCTAAGTCAATAGACCATTTTTGACATCTGAATATATCTTTCAGAATCTTACATCATTTCCAGTCATAAACACATAAATTTATAAAATCTTTCATAGACTTCAACAACAATATAAACTGTACTTTCATTTTTTAAATACATACATAATCACTTTTATCACATGTTTTACTATATATTTTAAATATATATTAGAATATACAAATAACAAAGTATATAGAAAACACGATATGGCACAATGCGTTTCACATTTTAAGAAATAGCTTTTTCTGATGGGTGATACAGAATTGCACACATCTTTTCTATCTCTAAACCACTCTGGGCAAGCCAGTGAACCACACTGAACTTGCTCTTGGTGCAGGAAGTTGCAGGATCCAGCCGGGGTAAACAGCACAAGACAGACCAGAAAGCACAAAGAAACTGTATGGCTTAGATTCAGCCTCTTTGGGTCCTGGTCTTGCCAGGAGTAGAAATTCAAGCAAAATATTGATGCAAGTAAAACTAATCACTCTGCTTCACAGAAATTAAACACTTTTACTTTGTCACTTGCTGACCGAAAAACACCCAACCTTAAAATCCTATTAATATGTCTCAGACCACAATTTAGCTATAAGATCAACCTGATAAAAACAATCTCATACAAATGTATACCTGCTTCAATCAGGTGCTTAATCTAAATGAAACAACTCTTCATTCACCTAAAATATTACTCATGTATTTCTCTAGATTTCTGCAATTATACATGATTGAATCCAAGTTTCAGTGACCCAGCCCTCTGGTATTGTTACACAACGTTTTGGAAGTGCATGCTAAGGACTTGGGCCCCATGGTGGTAAGCCTCCACCACGTGAGCCTCAGGTCACGTGAAACTCAGAAGCCTGGAGGGAGACACATGGACAAGGGTCCTGGAAGAAGACCATGGATTTCATCCCTCTGGAGTCTCACATTTGGCTTCCTGGTTCTTGCAGGGAGAACTTGTCCCCTCCCACACTCACCATAATGCAGTGCCCTGGCAGAAGACTCAAAATGCTGAAACCACACAGTTCGGACTGTAAATTTTAGACCTATGAACAAAAATCCACCTTTTCCCTGTAAAGATAAACGGCCTCTGGAATTTCCTCATAGTGATACAAATCTTAGAACTACAAATATGTGGAGGAAATCATTTACTGATTATATTTTTTGCCTAAAAAATCTAACTAACTCATGAGAAAAAATAAGAACATGGCTAAATAACCAATTTTTCATTTGATGAAGGAAAATATGATGATAACCAACAAAATTTAGAAGTGCAAATTGCAAACACACATATTTCACTACCAGACATTAAAACACACTATTTAGTTAAACTGTAGTTCTCAAGGATAAACACCAAAAGAGGATCTGTTTCCTCGGTAAAATCCTGTAATCTGAGCAACTACTTTTAAGATAGCAGTATGAATATATTAACAAGTGTTAATTTACTATTTTGTTTTGAAATTCTGTATCATTTTTATTCTTTTGTTGTCTCTTAAGAAAAAAAATACATATATTTGGAAAAAAGACAAAGTGAGTAGTCAGAAGCAGACTCAAAGAATATAGAAAATTAAAATGAGACTAAGATGCATTTCTGTTCTGTGAATGAGAACACAATTATTACTAAGTGATATTAATTCAGTCAATTATACTTTCAGAAAATAAGTAAAACTGGTTACCTTCACTCTGTGGATTAAAGGGCTAGTTGAAAAAAATCAAGGCCTTCAATATTAGAATTTTGAAGAATATATATATACACACAATCTATTTCTGTATATATACAATATATACATAATTTTAAAGAATAAAACTATATTTACAACATATTTCCGGGGAAAAGTTCTCAAAAGAAAACCCAGAAAGTAATAAATTAAGGTTAAACAATTTGACTACAGAAAAGTGAAACACTGCAAGACAAAAGAAATGAAGAAGTCAATGAAAAATTGTTTGCAATCCCTAGAGAAAAGTGAAGAAATTCCTAATATTCAAGCCTTATAACTATTATTTGTGAAAAGAGCTCCATCCAAAATTAAGAAACATGATTATGTAATTCACAAAACAAGGGATGCAAATGGCCACCAGAGCAATGGCAGTGGGACATATAAACTACAGCAGCCATATACAAAATTTTTGTCCAGAAAACTAAGAAAACTTTAAATATTTGACAAAGTCTGGAGCAATAGAAGGTAGGAAAAAATCTACAACTCTCAAAGAAAATAGCAGTTAGAGTGCAGTTGGGCAAAATTTAAAATCAGTTTCTCAAATGTATTAAAGCAACTATGTGCACATCATAGAACCCAGCAACTCTGTTCTGAGGATTATAGCCTATTAAGATAAGAGCAATATTATGGACAGACTTGGACATTGAAGATGTTTACTATAAATTTGGCTCATAAAATCAAAAGTAGGAAAAGCTTAAACATCTATTTCTATTGGTTGATTTTAAATAGTAAGGTATAGTCAAAGTAAAATTTACCAAGATTACTAAAAGAGCATACAAAATGTGTAAGAAGTGGCCTATAAATATGACCACTTAGGAGAGCAAATGAAATACTCAAGGTAAAGATCAGTACACCAAGCCCAGGGGTGGCAAATCTATGGCACACTTGCCATAACTCGCTGTTTGTCATCACTGAAAGCTCTAAAGATTCACCATCACTGATGTAGCCTACTATTACATTTTAGTTTACAAAAACAAATGTGAAAATTTACATGAGTGCTCTCTCTCATATGTGTGTGTCTCTGTGTTCTGATCTCAAAACTTGGAAGACATGCACAACAATTTTCTACAGCACCTTCCCATAGATATAAACATATACAACTGGCATAAAATGTAGTTTTTTCCAGTGTTTCAAGAAACACTATTAAAAATATGATTTAGAAATCATATATACTTAAACTAACTTTATATACATTCACATACAAAAAGGCTGCTTTATGAAGTCTGTGAGCTTGCAATTAAACCAAATGGAAAAAAGGATTCATTAAACCAGAAAGACAAATATGACACAGGTAAGTGACCTATCACAGTTCAGAAAGGAATCATTTCCATTAATGTGCAAAATTAGGATACCCTGAATGTATCAAAGGAAAGAAAGAACGTACCTTGGGTAAGGGCTTTCTTCCTTCTTGACAGTTGATTCCACCAACGAAGACCATGTTGGGCATCACAGGTCTGGGAAAGTCGAAGACAAAGTCCGTGCGTAACAGCCACACTGATGGTTGGCTGAACAGATCATATATGGTAACAGGTCTTTGGAGAATTTCAGCAGCAATTTCTAAGGCATTTTTATAGAAATAATTGCAAACTAAATGCTCCTCCAGGTGGGTAAAAATATTCTGCACTCTCTCTTTGAAAGTCATGACATCTGAGAGCACCGAGAAAAGTCTGGGGACATAAGAAGGAGCAGAGGGGCACTGAGCACCTTCTTCAAAAAGATGACAAAATATTACCCTGGCGAAGACCACAGATGGCAGCGAAAAATATTTGGCAACAGTTAAGCCACACACATCAAAAGGATCTGTTAACACTGCATCAAAAGAAGTCTTTTTTAAATATTCCACTATTTTGTTTGCACTAAACAAACTCCTACAACGTGAAAAAGTGATGTCAAAAAAGCGTTTGGATGAACCTGTTGCAAAAGAGTAAATACTTCCCTCAGAAATTTTCCATTGAGTGTCAGCAAAAAACTGAAATGAACGATCCAACTCCTCCTGAGTAAAAGAAGTTGGATAACTCTTTACCGTGCAGTTCAGTGACTGTCCAAGTTGCCAACTGGCCTCCGGCATGACTGCAACCACCTCATGTCCTCTCTGGATGAGTTTCTCCACCACAGAGCGCAGGGTGAACCAGTGGCTCCCGTCCATGGGCACCACCAGCAGCCTGCCCGCCCAGGCAAAGCCTGATGTCAGCAGCAGACACAGGCACAGAGGAAGAGGGTCCAAAGAACGAGCCATGAGGACTGCAGCCCAGAGCCACCCAGCTGCTCAGACACAGTCTGTGTGATGCAATGAGTGGAATAATACAGGAACAAAATCTGCTACAGAATGGGCGGAGATTCACATGTCAATAAAGGAAGCAACACTCACTAAAAATGTTTATTTAGAGCAGTAATGATCACTGAGTTTCATTTGTTGGAATTCCTATCGGCAGACTTTCCACACAAGGATCATTTGTGATCTTTGTTTGAGAAAGAATTATAACCTGGCCTGTAATAATGTGACATTAAAAATAGAGCTTTCATAATGCACTTGTACTTTGAGATTTCAGAAAAATTGAAAAGTACATTGGAGTTTCTGTTTCTAGAGTTTGTGAAACAGTACTCTTTTCCCAGAACAAAATTGGCAACCCAGCTCCCAAGAAATCTCTGCAAGGCCCTTAGCCCTGTCTCTTCACGGGCTGTCTTGATCATCCTGAGCACCTCTGCATGGGTAGGCACTATTGTTAGGATGAGTCTGTTCACCATCTCAGGTTCCTGCTTTCAATTCCCAACCCTTGGAGGCCTCTGAAATGCTGAAGCATGATCAGTACCACACAAGCCGCAGCCAATTATGTGGTCACAGACCTTGATGAAATCTGAGTTTGAAAGGGAGAAAGCCAACTTCATCTCCCCAATTTTGCACAGCTCCTCAGTAGAGGCTTTTCTTGGGCCCATGATCTCGAGAAGAAAACTGAGGCCTTCACACAGCTGTTCTAGCATGTCCAAGATGCTTCCAGGATGCCCACTCCTGTATCACCTCACAGGGAACAAAGGAGTGAGAATTGCACAAGTAGAAGACAAAGAGTCAAAAGAAAGAAAGAAAGAAAGAAAGAAAGAAAGAAAGAAAGAAAGCAGGCAGTTGTATAGTGACCAGCATGGAGACCTGGGCAAAGGCTCACGTATGCTGTCATGTGTGGGGTCTGCCCAGAGATACCTGCCAAACTCATAAACCACTGCATCCTAAGTTGGCTGTGAAAGAAAGCACAGGAGTGAGACTTATCTAGTTTGTTCCTCCGCTGCTATTTGCCCCTTCTAGGATCACTGCCCACACAATGTTCCTGCCCAGGGGAGCATACTTTCATTCTCAGATTTCAGAGAATCCAAGAATTATTTCCACACACCTTTGCCAACTGTTGATGCCAAAGAGCAGATATGCCCAGCTAAGTTTCACACTTGGTAATCAGCCTCACCAGGAGCCATTGTTATACTCAGGTAGCACTGCCACCTGCTGGATGATTGCATAGATGTTTCCCTAGACAGTGGAGCTCTGATATCTACCACACCTGAGGTTAAAGAAAAGTGAGTAGCCCACTCACCAGAAGAACTCACAAGAGGCCCTACCTGGGGTCTGATGAGCCTGCCCTTCCTGAATCACAGTGCAAGGATCCAGCAGGACCTCCCTGCAGCCATCATTAGTGGTAACTGCCATGATGCCCCTTAGGAATCTTGGCCTGTGTTCTCTATACAGATCCCCAGAAAACTGCAGTAAAATAAATCCATTAGGGAAGACTCCACTGCTATATGTCAGACCCTGTGACACTTGGGCCAGGAAGGTGGCTGACAACTTTGATCTTAACTTGAGTAAAGAAGATCCAAGGATTATGAAGAATAAGAGAATCATGACCACTTTGAAAGAAAATAATAGACATCTGATAATTGATAGCATGGAAATGAACATCTATAATATTAGGGAAAAGGAATTCAGGTTAATGCTTAGAAAAAACATCAGTGAATTACAGAGACACAAAAAATAAATTTCAAATAAACTTGACAATGTATATATGAAAATGAGAAAGTTGCTTAAAGAAATAATAAAAAAGAGAACCGGAGAGAACTCAGGAGAATAATAGGATTCCAAGACAATCACTCCATAAAACCATCAAACCATAAAGGAAGGCATACATAAAGAAAAAAAGTGTCTGTTAAATAGACAGAACAAAACTAACAAAAAAGGAAGCCATGCATCCTTACCAACTAATGATTACTTTAAAATTAAATGCATTAAATTCTCCAATAAAAATTCATTTTTAGAAGACTTAATGCATTTTTTAGAAGACTTAATGATTTTCTTTTACAAAAAAAAAAACACCATTCAAGAGCACATGGAGAGCAAAAGTGAGAGGACTGAAAAATACAATACTAACTGAACAAATGCTGTGTGTCTATCAGATGAACCAATTTTCAGCCAATTACTATACGAGAGACAGAGAAGGACACTCTATAATGACAGAGGGGTTGATTCATTATGAATACTTACAAATGAAAACATGTATGCAATCAACACAGACCATGTAAATATAAAAAGCCAGCATTAAAGGATTAGAAGGGAGATTTAAATTACAATAACAATAATAATTTCATTTCCCCCTTTTCTTGTTTTGTCTTTTTTTAAAATTTAATTTAAAGAAAGACTAAACAAAACAGAACATGGGTAGAAATAATATATAATTTCAAAGAAAAAATAAACAGTAAGAAATCACTAGATGATGATTACAGATTGTCATCTCACAAACAGTTATTCAAGATACTGAAGTGGAGCTTATAAAGTGGAGATTCAAACAGTGAGATTGTAACCAGTTCTGTTCAACTATCCAACAAAAACTTAGAAATCTGTTATCAATCCTATACACTTAAACATACATGCAGTTATCCATGTCTTCCATTATGTTGAGATTGAATAAACCCAAGCAGGCTAATACCACTCTGTACAAAGAATAATACTATTGCTGGGTTTCACATTATGACACTCCAGGATCAGCACCGGGTACTTTAGTGTCTCTTTTTCTTCAAAGTATCTGCTCATTTCATCATGTGTCATAAGATCAGTTCTCATAAACTGTTTATAGATTCTACATATACATGAGTCTTAATATGTATTTCTATCCTTTCTATATTAGATGGAGAAACAAAACAAAGCAAGACAAAACAAAACATATTCCTATAAACACATGAAACGAAATAAACATATAAGACCACTGTACAAAGAGTTCTACCATGGTTCCTGTGTTGTCTCTTGTTATGTCCAATAGAACTGGCTATATCATCAGATAGAGTATAATTGAATATATCAGTATGTAACAGTATTAATAAAAACACAACTTTGTATATAGTATAGAACTTCAAAAACCAGCAGTTATCAAACAAGAATGTATATCGTAGAATCTTGTCATCTTCAGTGTAGTCGCCTATACTCTCAGACTTGATACTATCAATCATATCAGTTTTGAATAAAATCTTCTATGCATCATTTCTGTTATGCTCTTTTTTGCCACAGTTGTCTGCTTATCTTCTTCATTCTGTTTTCAGCTCCATTCATTGAGGCCTCTCTGCCACTGTTCCTGGAATCCTAGTACTTTTCTCTCCCTCTAGAATGCCTTGCAGTATTCTCTGTAGAGTTGGATTGGTGATTGTGAATTTCCCAAGTTCCTCTTTGTCTTGGAAGCATCTTTTTTCTCCATTAATTTCTAGAGACAGTTTAGCAGGGATATCAATCTGGGATGGAGGTTATTTTCTTTCAGGCCTTGGAATATTTATCTCCAGGCTCTTCTTGACTTGATGTTTGTGCTGAGAAGTCTGCTATTATTCTGATGGGCCTTTCTTTATAGGTGATCTGTTCTTGTCTCTAACAGCTTTTAATATTCTATTCTTATATTGAATTTCTGGGATCTTGATTATTATATGCCTGAGTGTAGCTCTGGCTGTAGGTGGCTGTAGGTAGCTGGTTCTGTATGCCTCCTATATCAGAATATCATTTCCTTTTCCTATGCTTGGTAAGTTTTCCTTAATTATTTCTGTGAATAACCTTTGTAGTTCCTTTGTTTGTACCCAGATTCTTCATTCACATTCTTTATTCTCAAGTTATAGATCCTCTTGTTGTCTTCTAGACTTTGCATTGTTACTGCTTGTTTCCTTGTTATTTTTAAAAAGTTTTCCCTTTCATACTCCCACATTGCAAAATTGTCCTCCAGTTTGGATAGTCTATCCTTAATTTCTTTCAAGCTGATTTGCCATCTTTCCATAGAGTTTTTAATTTCCTGCTAATCTCTTTGAATCTGCTTCATGTACTCTATATTTTTTTATATTCTTCATCAAGTGGTTCTCTCCTTTGTTTGAAT